CCCCCCCCCCTACATCAAATGTGCCAACTCCACCATCCCCTTTACAAAAAATGGGTTGGACCTCTCTGCCAATTGAAAGGACGTTTTATTCAAAAAATATAAAAGACAAGGTATTTTCTATTTCAACTATAATAGTTTAATCTATTGGATACACAAGACATACAGCCAAGTCAATTTATATAGACATATAGGCTAGCTTACCACTCCGGCATCGTTGGAGGTTCCTCCAGCAGTGAACTCTAATCCAGTGCTAGTCTTAGACTTGACTTCAAGCTTAACCAGACCAAAGTGATATCCCTGAACATGAGTTTTAAAATTATGTGATTTGATCATCCAAAAATCGTTCACTAGGATGGACCCAATTTTAATATATCATGAACCTCCACCAGGGTTACGTTGGGCGCGATTGAATCCACGTTTTTTTGGAAAACATTGAAGTATGTTCATAAATTTATGACTTAAATTTATTGTTTTCACCTTGCCAAAAACATCCCGGGACTGTTTGCCGATATCTCCGAATGCTGGGGGTGCCATTTTATTGTAGGATTCTGAAATTGAAACGATAAATTTTAAGACTAATATTATGAAATGATAAAACTTCTTCACGTTCACTTATGTAAACGTTTTCACTTTAAAAAACTGATTATTTTAGATTTAATCCTTAGTTTAAATCATCATTTCACATCTTCCTCAAATCACAAGTATGATTCCGAAACGAGGATGTCGCACTGTCGGCCATGATGTATTTCCTAAATATCCCCACATGGATTTCAGACAGTTTACCGTAGTCAGCAGATCTACTCGATCTTTGAACTACAAGCTAGTCCTGCTGGCTGGGTAAAGCCGACTACATGCCAGCTGACAGAGAGGAAATAGAACTCACGAAACCTCAAACACAATTGATTTATATTTTCGAAAAGACGACAGCTAAAAGTATTAATTGAGATAGGATTGGTGGTGTATTTTTCGACCTTGCACATATCCGCCATACTCCACATCTGACCTACGCCAAATCCGCTATACTACACATCCGACCTACTAGCACGTGGTTTTACAGCTGCTAGATGGACTTGTGGCCGCAGCGCCCGGCCCCCTAGCCTGTCCTAGCCGCAGCGCTCGGCCCAATGCAGTAGCAGCAACAAATCCAGTGTTT